ACGCTTCACAACCTTTCATAGGTTGTGTAGGTTTAACATCCTCATGTTTGACGATGTTAAACCAACTAGCCCAACTTACCGCCTTGTTTTATAGGTACGTACAGAAAGAAATAAACCTTGAAGGACCAAAAGGTAACATGGAGACCTGGACTCACAGAGCGAAACAACCTTGAACTCGGGGGAGGAGGCGACACTCAAACCATCGGAACAGATTCATACTTCGAACCTGGCGAAGGGCCAACCGCAGCAAAACAAAAAAAGAAGCTTCTAGCGGGAAAGATAAGTGACCTAGAAAAACATAAATAACCAAACATAATAGATGAAAAAAAACATTCACTGGTTTAGGAACGCTCTAATGTGATTTCCCAGTGAAACAGACATATTGCTAAAACAATCTTTTTGCTTATCTATCATTAATGATTCTTTCAGTGAATATTTGTACGAATCTTTTTCTTTGTTAAGGACCCTAGTGTTCTGCCACGCAACTACGCACTTACTACAAGAAGAAAGGTGTTTTGCCAGTTCTGAAGACTCAGCTTTGTTTTTGACTGCACGCTTATGTTCAGTTAACCTGTCATTAATACACCTGGCCGTTTGTCCAACATAACAAGCTCTGCATTTGACTGGAATTTGATAGACAACAAAAACTTAGTGCACTTTGAATCTGCTTCAGGTATTGACGTCGTTAGTTTTCTAAAACTTGTAGAGTATAATTTAGGTGACTATGGTTCAGGTAAGTTATTCTTGCAAAAAAGCGGGATTTGTATTGGTTCTCGAATAGCTCGCCTATTACCAGAGGGCTATCTTCGTGTAATTGCTATTATGGTATCTCAGTCACTTGAAGCGTATGCCGAGGGCTCTGGGATCGTTCGCAGGTATGTGGACGACATTTTGGTGTTTTCCCTGGATTCCCTCGTTGGCGGACGTGTCAAGGAAAGCTTATTGAGAGCAGCTCCAGAGTTAGCATTTTCGGTAGAGAATGTGCAGGCTGGTTGGCTGCAATTCTTAGGCATTCGTTTTCTAGTAGGAAATGGTCTTTGTCGAGAGTTTGGTAAGACCGATTCAATACCTTTGCTTTCTAGGTTAAGTTGTGATTCTAAAATTTTAAAGAGGGGAGTAGTCAAATCCGTATTAATGAATTCAATCAAATTTTCTTCCATACATTGGTTGGGAGTGGGTCTAGAAAAGCAGATTTGTAGGTTGTCCTCAGCAAAATATAGGAATGATTTTGTTTCCTCTGTCATTCATCGTTGGTTAACCAGTTCTAATGGCGGTAGAGACACCAAAGTGGAAAAAAGCAACGTTGTATGTCTACCCTATTTTCATGTCTCCCATAATTTGAAGGCGTTGGCTGCAAAGTTCGGTGTGAGAGTTGTGTTTAAACCTGATTTTTGGCTAGATAGTAGATCAACCCGATCGCAATCCAGGGACTGTTCCGTGGATTGCGATCGGGGTGTTGTCTATCAAATTCTAGTCAAGTGAGGAGCTTGTTATGTTGGACAAACGGCCAGGTGTATTAATGACAGGTTAACTGAACATAAGCATGCAGTCAAAAACAAACTCTTCAGAACTGGCAAAACACCTTTCTTCTTATAATAAGTGCATACCATAAAATCCCGAGAGATGCCCCACCCCCAAAAGATAGCCTACCCCTATTTTTGGCTTGATTTGCTATATGTTTTTAAACACTGAAAGCTAGCCCCCTTTTAGTAATAGTAGTGATCAATAGATGGCCTCGGTGTAAATGTGGCTAGTTCGCTATGGTGGGATATAAGCGAACATTGCTGACTGGGAAGTACAGTCATCTTTGCTTCATTGCCCCCGCCTCCATAACAAGCTTGGAAGGGGCACGACCTAAAAAAAAGTAATTTTTGAAAACTTTCCTTGATTGTATGCCGAAAGTTAGCCCCCTCCATATTTTCAGCCGATTTGCTCTTGATGTCAGGTGGGCTCTCTCTCGGGATTTTGCGGTAGTTGTGTGGCAGAACACTAGGGTGCTCAACAAAAAAAAAAAGATTTGTACAAACGTCTACTGAAAGAATCATTAATGATAAATAAGCAAAAAGATTGTTTTAGCAATATGTCTGCTTCACTGGGAAATCACATTAGAACGTTCCTAAACCAGTAAATTTTTTTTTTTATCAACCATATTTTTTGGGCTATAGTCCGTAGACTATACATGTTTAAAAGTTGAAATTTCTGGCTGTGCGGACTATCTACGCGTGCGGACTATACAGGAATTATGTTTTTCAAGATTGTTTATTATGACGAGACGTGACGAATTTTGTGCACGAAAGTGTATGTTAATGATGATTTAAGCACATTATAGGCTTTATTGTGAGCTAAAAAGCAGACATTTGTAAACGTGTGCCGTCTATGAGAAGATTTTCGTGTCGACTAAGCACCAGGTGCGGACTATGCACCGGGTGCGGGCTATGCACCGGGTGCGGGCTATCTAAGCAAAATCTTTTATTTTTGACCCCAAATTTCCCCCTACGGACTATACACCGGGTACGGACTATGGTCCAGAAAATACGGTACTATGTTTGGTTATCTAGGTCACTTATCTTTGCCCATTGTGTGGATTTTCCCACTAGAAGCTTCTTTTTCTGTTTTGCTATGGTTGGCCCTTCGCCAGGTTCGAAGTATGAATCCATTCCAGTAGTTCGAGTGTTGCACCCCTCACCCGAGTTCAAGGTTGTTTCGCTTTGTGAGTCCGGGTCTTCATGCTACCCTTTGGTCCTTCAAGGTTTATTTCTTTCTGTACGTACCTATAAAAGGTCGTGAAGCGTGAAATAAATGTTAGCTGTGTCTGGAGATCTGTGTTGTGTTTGTCCTCCTTGTCCCCATTCTCCAGGGTTAAAATGTCTATGTTCAACCAGCTTGCCTGCACCCTTGGTTTAAAAATTAACTCGATACTTTGCGTAAAGCCGACCAATGGAGAATGCATTGTGCATTTGTGTCTCATTCATGAAAAGATTACTCCAAAAGCCTAATGGGCCTAACAGACGAAACCGATCCAAACAAGTCTATGCAGGTCAACACAAGCACTCACCGTAAGGCACCGGAGAAGTGCCCACTTCCACCGAAAACTGGGTTAATCTAGACACGGGCGCCTCTCCGGCAAAATGAATGTATAATTTGCACACTTGTCAAGTTTGAGAAATGTTAATGGTGGCCACTTGAACCAAGCGGGCGCTTCTGCGGTATTTTAAGGTAACGCATTCCACGTCAATCAATGTTAGTCAGCTTTATGCGAAGTATTAAAGGTTAGATTATTTCAATCTCGCAGCCTGACATATTTCTATCGAGGGCCGACACCATATGGATGAGGCCACCGCAAATTACCAAAAACTTTTCACGCAAAACATTCTTTGGCTAGGCGCTAGGCATTTGGTGAAGCGCAAAAGCGAAGCCCAGATAAAAGTGTGGCCACGAGGCTGGACACCGATGGGTCGGCGATTGGGGCAGGAGGAGCGAGGTGCTCGACGCCGACTGGTTAACGGGGAGGTCACGCAACCAGAGGGGCAGGCGAGGTGGGAGAGGAGGAGTGGGTTAGAACATTCTGGAAGATCACCAGGTTTATCATTTGGAGATGCTGAGCATTCAATTATCCGACGAGGAGCACCTTGAACAAAGGTGTCTCGCTGAACAAGCTGAACAGAATGTTTCGCGTATGGAACGCAACTGCCTACCCATTCGCTCCTTTTTCCTCATCGTCATTAGCCTGCTCTTCTCGCTTCCTACACTCGGGGTAAGCTTTAAAAACCTCCGTAGGTGTCATGATGCAGTGCCAAACCGTTGCAGCTGGTCAACTGTTGCGGCGACGCAGACAGAGCAGCTCATTTCCTAGCTACACAAGTGGCGCACGGGTAGAGCATCGGACTACTCGTTCGATTTTCGCCACGGGGCACATTTTGAAAAGAAACCTGGCTCACGTTTGAATACAAAATGTATTTTAGGAGTCGTTCGTTCTCACAAACGAGCATCGTGAACGAGCCACATGAACGAGCGCCGCGCTGAGAGCATTACGCAACAATGAGGTTAGACAGTTTACAAAATCAACGTAAGAAGAACAGTGCACCGCCAGAGTTCAAACTTCATACAGTTAGGAGAAGCGCGCAGGTAATGCATACACCTAACGTGGGCCGCACCCGTTGGAGTGCATGGCGGCCGCCGTAGCCGTTTCGCGCCGAGCCCCAGAGATGATGCAGCAGCCGCTGTGCGGGAGCAGAAGGAGTGGGGAGCAAATGGGGGCAAAAAAAGGACGCAGGGAGACGGCGAGGCTCGGCTATACTGCCGATACTGCCATGCACGAGCGAATGAGAAATTAAAGTGTCTTTAGCGTGATCGCTCGTGCGCGAGTCATGACTGAGACAATCAGTGACAAAGTATGTCATAATGCGTAAGCTTAACGTCCGTATCGCTCTTAGTGCGTCCCTCATTCCTGACGATCGTTCATGATGCTCGTTCATGACGCCTGTTGGTGACAATTTTCTTGTAAAAACACCTCCCAAAACACATTCTGCATTAAGACATAAAAAAACCTTATAATAAAAAAAAAGAAAATACTGCACTTTGTGCAGGACCCATTGTGAGCATAATCGAGCCTCTATGATGTCCACCCTCCAATACTATCAGGTAACCCTGGAACACTGCCAACCATTCTTTTACCTCGGGCTCTTCCGACACAAGCCAATATTTCTCACAGACAGTGGGCTCCTTCCATTTACCTGCACCGAAAAGTGTGGGGCAATGTAATTGTTTTTCAAGATATTTCAAGACATAAAAGTGCGGGGCAATGTACTTGTTTTTGCAGAGAGGCTGCACTCATCAATCGGGACGGTGTGCACCAAGTGCAGCTGGTGCAGGCAAATCGAATCGGCCCGTCGGGTTGTGAGTGCCGCAAAACCTCGGGTCGTACGCGAACGTGTTCCGGGTGTGCCCGTCTGGCTATGAGAAAGTGGCTGCCCCCGCTGGGATGTGGGGGGTGCCCTCACCAGGCAGAAGGAGTTGGCGGCCTGCTCCAGCAGCCCGACGAGCCCGTTCTCGGTGAAGTACTTGCCCGTGCAGACCCCCTCCTCGTCGGGGGACAGCACGTCGTCCGACACCGCACTCTCCTCCAGGACGTTGTGGGACACCTTCTGCGCTGGCACACGCAGCCCCTTAGCACAGCTGCAACAGCTACGAATACTCGAAAGAATGAAACATCGGGGACAGAGACAGAAACGGGACTTCTTTCATAAAGAAGTCCCGTTTCTGTCCCCGTCTTGAATGTTTTACCCTTTCAAGTATTCACATCTATTCACCAACAACACGCACTCTTTCAATTATTAGTGACAGCTAGACTCTCCTATTGTCACGGGTGGTGACCAATAAACAATAATAAACAGACAGAAATAAACGTTTAATGTGGCGAACTTGTGCCAAAAATAAAAGGGTACAAAAGATAATAACGGAGCGTCGCGGGCGTCGAAATCGGCGTAGCAGCAGAGTCGAACTCTGGGCGAAAACTGGCTGCAGATCAGCACGCGGAGTCCCTTATGTACGCGCGTTGGGTTCTGGAACAATCGGCCTAGATTGTTCGGCGACTGGAACATTCAGAACTCGATCTGACGAGAATGTTCTCGAACTCACGAGAACGCAATGAGAGAACAAATAAAAGATCATTCCACTGACTGGAATCGAACCCAGACTTTCTGCACGACAGTCAAGCACGGTAACCACTTGGCCACGCGCGCGGTATACCTCGCTGACGAGCGTGGCATTACTCCCCCCTTTAAAAAGGCATCGTCTCGATGCCACGTAAAAGGCAACAAAACAGATTGAAAAGGTTTACTCCGACTTAACATAACAAATTAATAACAAAAGGTATGGACGTTTCGCCACCTATGCAGGTGGCATCTTCAGTATACACTGACACAAATGAGGTGAGGTCGACCAGTCTACTTATCACACACGTCCCCGTAAACGTCCGGCAGGGGGCCACGGTTGGTGTTGCACACCGATGAGTCACGGCGAATGCACCAGGACTCGACGAATTTTCTTTGCCCCCACCTTTGTTCTCGGGCCAGCGTCGTCGCATTGTCCAGGTTGAAAGTGTGTCCTGTCGTCCAGCAGTGTTCGACAAGTTCCGTCTTGGACCGCGTGGCATGGGTGGCCTTGGCAACGTCCCTTTTGTGTTCTTTCAATCTCGTTGCCCTCTTTCTGCCCGTTTCGCCGATGTAGGTCGCGTCACAATCCCCGCACTGCACTTTGTATACGACCCACCTCTGACCGTCTGCAGAGGTGCGGTCCTTCGGTTTCGGGAACACATTCGCTAAGGTATAATGTGGTTTAAAAACAGTTTGTACGCCCAGCAAAGCAAAGCTCTCCGAACAGCATCTGACACGCCCTGGACATAGGGAATAGATACAATAGACGTTGCCCGCACTCGTGACTCACTCCCCCTTCCCCTCTGCATTCACCTCTGCGTATCGTTTATAAACGTCCTCGGATAATGGCGCCGCTCTAACGCACCAACCACATTTTCTACCTCTTGCAACCGTAGCTGCTTGTTAGAGCACACTGCATCACAACGTGATAAAAAGGTTCTTACAACGGACCGTTTGTGTTCGGTCGGGTGATGCGAGTCAAAGGACAAAAAATTTCCGGTGTCACACTGCTTGCGGTACACCGTCGTTTCCACACTGCCATTACTGGCCCGGCGTACCAACACATCCAAAAAAGGCAACACATTATCTGTCTCTGTGTGTTGCCTTTTTTGGATGTGTTGGTACGCCGGGCCAGTAATGGCAGTGTGGAAACGACGGTGTACCGCAAGCAGTGTGACACCGGAAATTTTTTGTCCTTTGACTCGCATCACCCGACCGAACACAAACGGTCCGTTGTAAGAACCTTTTTATCACGTTGTGATGCAGTGTGCTCTAACAAGCAGCTACGGTTGCAAGAGGTAGAAAATGTGGTTGGTGCGTTAGAGCGGCGCCATTATTTGAGGACGTTTATTAACGATACGCAGAGGCGAATGCAGAGGGGAAGGGGGAGTGAGTCACGAGTGCGGGCAACGTCTATTGTATCTATTCCCTATGTCCAGGGCGTGTCAGATGCTGTTCGGAGAGCTTTGCGCCCGCTGGGCGTACAAACTGTTTTTAAACCACATTATGCCTTAGCGAATGTGTTCCCGAAACCGAAGGACCACACCTCTGCAGACGGTCAGAGGGGGGTCGTATACAAAGTGCAGTGCGGGGATTGTGACGCGACCTACATCGGCGAAACGGGCAGAAAGAGGGCAACGAGATTGAAAGAACACAAAAGGGACGTTGCCAAGGCCACCCATGCCACGCGGTCCAAGACGGAACTTGTCGAACACTGCTGGACGACAGGACACACTTTCGACCTGGACAGTGCGACGACGCTGGCCCGAGAACAAAGGTGGGGGCAAAGAAAATTCGTCGAGTCCTGGTGCATTCGCCGTGACCCATCGGTGTGCAACACCAACCGTGGCCCCCTGCCGGACGTTTACGGGGACGTGTGTGATAAGTAGACTGGTCGACCTCACCTCATTTGTGTCAGTGTATACTGAAGATGCCACCTGCATAGGTGGCGAAACGTCTGTACCTTTTGTTATTAATTTGTTATGTTAAGTCCGAGTAAACCTTTTCAATCATGAATTCACCCGGCTTTTGGAACATTTTTGCAACAAAACAGGGTGAAACAAACAAAAAAAAAATGGGAACATACGGAGGCTCGCACAACACAATCCTATCAAGCGGTGCACAAGATCACAGTTCACAGTCTTATCGCGCGTAGTACGGCTTGAGGCGCACGACGTGGACGACTTCCGGTCGTGGAGCGCGGCGTGATGAAGTCCGTGTTCCGTCGGGCATCACCTCGTAGTTCAGATCCCCGAGTCGACGAAGTACTTTGTAGGGTCCGAAGTAGCGCTTTAGGAGTTTCTCACTGAGACCACGGCGGCGGATCGGTGTCCACACCCACACCCTGCCTCCGGGCTGGAAGTGGACGTCCTGACGACGAAGATTGTAGCGGCCAGTGTCGACACGTTGTTGGGCTTGAATACGGTGTCTGGCGAGCTGGCGGACTTCTGCCCATTGGGCAACCACCTGGGCGTCGTCGCTTCCGTCGAGCGCCGGTTCGTGGGGTAGCATCACGTCCAGCATTGTCGTTACTTTACGACCATGAACCAGTTGGAAGGGTGTCACTCTGGTGGTCTCTTGCACGGCCGTGTTGTAGGCAAATGTGACGTACGGCAACACCTCGTCCCACGTCTTGTGCTCCACGTCGACGTACATGAAGATCATGTCGGCGATGGTCTTGTTGAGTCTCTCCGTCAGCCCGTTGGTCTGCGGGTGGTACGCCGTTGTGCGCCGATGGCTGGTGTGGCTGAGACGAAGGATTTCTTGCGTCAGCTGGGCCATGAACGATGATCCACGGTCAGAGATCAAAACTTCGGGAGCGCCGTGCCGGAGGACGATGGATTCGATAAAGAACTTGGCGACTTCCACAGCAGTCCCTACAGGAAGGGCTTTCGTTTCGGCATACCGTGTGAGATAATCTGTGGCGACAATAATCCATCTGTTTCCTTGCGTCGATGGTGGAAAAGGACCAAGTAGATCCATTCCGATCTGCTGGAACGGTACGGTCGGGGGAGCGATCGGATGCAGGAGACCTGCCGGCTTCGTCGGCGGTTTCTTGCGTCGCTGGCACTCGTGGCAGGACCGTGTGTAGAAGTGAACGGTCTTCGGCAGCTTGGGCCAGTAATACCTTTCACGAATTCGGGCCAGCGTACGGCTGTAACCAAGGTGTCCGGACGTCGGGTCGTCGTGACAGGCTTGGAAGATCTCCGCTCTAAGGTCGGTGAGGATTACCAGCAGCCATGGTGTGCTGTTGTCTCCGCAGTTCTCCTTGTAAAGTACACCTTGTCAGAGGGCGAAAGTCGGCAGGGCTCTCGAGAAGACACGGGGGACAGTACCCCCTCGTCCTTCGAGGTGCTCGATTAGCGCGCGCAACTCAGGATCGTCTCTTTGACGTCGTGACATGCCGTCGGTGTTCACTGCACCTAGGAAGCACTCGTCGTCTTCGTCGTTGCTGCTGCCGGAAGGTGTTTCGACGGGGCCTCTGGACAGGCAGTCGGCGTCGCTGTTCTTGCGGCCTGACTTGTAGACCACAGTCATGTTGAACTCTTGTAGTCGTAGACTCCATCGAGCGAGGCGTCCTGATGGGTCCTTGAGGTTCGCAAGCCAGCAGAGCGAGTGGTGGTCCGTGACTACACGGAACGGGCTCCCGTACAAATACGGACGAAACTTCGTGATTGCCCAGATGACAGCAAGGCATTCTTTCTCAGTCGTGGAGTAATTTTTCTCCACCTTGGGCAGTGTCCGACTTGCGTAGGCAATAACTCGCTCGGTGCCGTCTTGCACTTGAACCAGTACCGCGCCAAGTCCAGCGTTACTTGCGTCCGTGTGAATTTTGGTTTCCGCATCTTGATCGAAATGTCCTAGAACAGGAGGAGTCTGCAGTCGTCGCTTCAGCTCATCGAATGCCTGCTGCTGCTTCTCGGCCCATTCGAACTTCTCGGCGTCCTTTGTGAGGTTTGTGAGTGGTGCGGAAATCCTTGTAAACTCCCGAATGAAGCGCACATATTCCAAGAAGTAGGCACATAGTCCAAGAAACCTTCGCACGGCCTTCTTGTCTGTCGGTATTGGAAATGCTGCGACGGCGCGAGTCTTCTCTGGGTCGGGGCGAACGCCTTCGTTACTAACCACGTGACCTAGAAACTTCAGTTCGTCATACGCAAACCGACACTTTGACGGCTTCAGGGTGAGTCCGGCAATCCGTATGGCTTGGAGAACTGCTCGGAGTCGTCGCAAGTGCTCGTCGAAGTCGCTGGAAAACACTACGACGTCATCGAGGTAGACGAGACAGCTCTGCCACTTCAGTCCTGCCAGTACGGTGTGCATGACACGCTGGAAAGTTGCTGGAGCCGTGCACAGTCTGAAGGGCATCACCTTGAACTCGTACAGCCCATCTGGCGTGACGAAAGCTGTTTTCTCTCGGTCCCGTTCGTCGACTTCGATCTGCCAGTAGCCGCTCTTCAGGTCCATTGATGAAAAGTATCGGGAGTGGC